CAGTAGTTTGTTAGGTATGGAAGTGTAGAAGCATAGGATACTGAAAGAAAGACCTATGTAATCTTATGCCGAGGAAATATAATTTTTTTTTTTTTTAATTAATAATCATCCTTTATAATTTTGGCAACAAGATCACTCACAGGTAGTATTATTACAAACAATAGAAATTCTAAAATAAATAACACATCAATAAAATAAATCTCAACTACTTGATGTTAGTCATACAGCCTAATAATGTGCTTGAGAATATAAAATAAAAGATCAAGCAATTAAAAGAAAAGATGCCGGAGATTACCTCAACCAGGCTTTTTACGCCTCACATCGAGTCACTACATCCAATGACGCGAGATCAACGGTCTAGCTTCAATCTCGAACCGGGAAAGCTAATTTCGACCAAACTAAGTAATCACCCTTAAATCTCTATAAAACCTTAACTGCAAAATAATTAGGCTCAAACCCTAATTTTTCCAACCCTTGGATTAGATCAAGAGAAAGAGAGAGTCTCTATGTTGGATCAAGAGAGAGAGAGAGAGTCTCTATGTTGGGCATGCCTTTTTAGGAGAGAGAGTAGAGAGAGAAGGGTTCTTTTTAGGAGAGAGAGAAAATAAGAGGGACATGGCCCCTAGGAAAGATAGAGAGAGAGTTTGTGGGAGAGAGAGGTGTGTTGAGATGGGGGGAGTGCACCACTATTTATAATCAAATTTAGGTTTAGGGTTTCCATAGTTTGCCTCTTTTTTGAGATTGAATATGGACCGTTGATCAAAGTGACTTGTGGGGTGAGAGATCTGAGCCATCCATTCTTTAGATGGGCCATCAACATTATGGAAAGTGCATGAACCATTATCTCTCTTTCCTTAAACCATTTTCCCATCAATATATTTAAATAAATTAAATCCATTAAAAATATAGTGCATACCATAAATTGCATATTCCATCTCATATTTTCCATAAGAATATTTCAATAATATCAAGTCAAAATATTCCTTTGATAATCAAGATAAGATATGGTCAATATTTCCTTATCAACATTTGACCACATGCTACAAGATGTTACCATTTTTAACAATTCGTCAGTGCAATGCTACACTTGAGTTTGTGGGAAATTAAAGCTTGCTTTAACTATGCTCCATGTTTAGGAAAGCACCCTTCTTAGGGCTAATGATGAAGTTGAGAACGATTTCAATCTACCAGCCATAATTTTTCTAATCACCTTATATATGACCATAGGCTGTTAAGTCTAAAATTGATCATGGAGGGGAGATCAACTTAGGCCCACCCTTATTAAAAAAAAAAAAAGGATAAAAGAAAAAAGGAAAAAGAAGAAGACGAAGAAGAAGAAGGCAGTGTTATTTTCTGTTTCTTCTCCGTGTACTTTATATATCTGAAGCACTAATCAGAGGTATACCAACCCAATATGTCGGGCCGGAGGTAAATTAATTGTATATGAAAAGTATTCTTGATCAGAAGTTTTGTAAATTAACAGGTATTCCTTTCAAGTGCCCTACAATTGTAAGTACCTAGTACCCTTTACATGGTCCGAATCGTTGCTATGTCTTAGTTCATGATTAAAAACCCATATTGCACCCATTTTGAGTTTCATGATTAAAACCCACATTGTACCCACACATCACTGCAAGTCTTGAGGTGCTGCTTTTTTCAGATGTACCTCATATTTCTAGCAATGGCTCCTTGAGCTTATGTGGGGTTGGCCCTTCAACCATATCTTATATTGGTCAATAGCCTCCAACATTGTATGGAAGCTATTTAGACCAGTAGTATTGAAAACCGTACTACCTCAGAACATTCACCGAGTATATATTGATATATCTATCTTTGGCGCTTTTTTTATTAAACATGTTTTCAGTGGTGGTTAACTTCTTTCTTTCTGTCCTATCATATATTGTGGCCTCAAGCTCAAGGGCTAAAAAAAACTCATTAAGTCTATTCATACGAGCATTTTCGAACCCAATCTATCATTTTTTAATATGTCGAGAGGAATCCTCATCAATTTCCCCTCCATCATCAATGAACACGTTAACCCAGGCTTTCACCAGGTGATGCTTGCCTCCTTTGCCACATTTTTTCCCATTTTCCAGATAGGTTTATCACCTTTTCAACATTGATCGAGGTGTCAACCCTTTAATATTGGCAAGGTGTTTCTCCAGTCTATTAATACCCTCATTTGTATCCCAATGATAATAATTCAACAAACTGTAATTTGATCATTCATAATGGCAAAAACTATCTTTCCAACCCAAATTCCCACTCCTAAAAGAATAGGAAGCAGAGAGCTTGAAAGATCTCAAATATAGAAACATTATCCTCCATGTTTTGAATGAGCATCTAGCTTTAAATCACCCAAAATCTACCTCTTGACATTTCACAAAGAACCAAATCTTAAAATTTTGGGTTGATATGATTTCTCAAAGTTTATAAATTTTCTGATCTTCAAAAAATTCCTACCTTTTTTTTTTTTTTTTGGTCTTTTTCATCAAATTAGTAGTTGGGGACATAATAGGGGATGTACCGTATCACTGGGGTCCCTCACCTCTTAAAAATTGGGAAAGTTCTCTCAAGCCAAGGGCTACCTAAGGTGAGTGCCTTGGCTAAGGTTCTGGGTGCCTCCCTAGGGTTAAGTCGCCTTCTATGGAAGGCGACGTAAATATCAAAAAATGAAAAAAACATAAAAAATAAGTTCCCCAAATGTTTGTTTTATCATTTAAAAAACACGTTACAGGGGAGAAGAAAGCCTTTTAGAGATAATAGGGCTGATTTCCGATTTCAGGAAGTAATCAGCCCAAAGACTTCCCGAATTCCAACTGATCTGTGAGTCCCGATCTGGAGCAGCGATTTTATCAGAAAACTAGGTTCCAACAATTGAGGCTAATACGTCTAAAAAAATGGGAAAAGGAGAGTTACTCCGCACAAGATACAGATGCAATGATATGTAAGAAGCCATTTCATGCACCTAAAGTTATTACCCATTCTTCAACTGATTCAATTGGAAGCGTAAACTGCAAAAGAAATATGATCAGGGATACCATCCTCACAACCATTATATTCATTTTGAGCCACTCAGGCCACACAGTACACTCTTAGGTTTCTATTCAAGAAGAAATTCTTCAAATTTCAGAACCATTGGCAAGATATGCCCCAAACTAAGCAATGTGAGAATCAACAATGGTGCAAATGGGAGCATGTTGGGTTCTTCCTATCATAAGACTGTTGCAACACTATTAAAGTGGATTCAAGAAGGAAGAGAACCATGATGATTTCCAAATTGTTTCTCTTATGTAAGTATCCTTTGCCTGCCCCTGGTACAAAACTTGGGCATACAGCTCTAACGGCTCAAAGTAAAGGGGATCTTTCTTTTCCTCGTGCATTAATCAGGCCAGAGAGATGCTTGACCAAAAACAGTTCAGGATTCAATGAAGGACAATGTACATTGATCATAATCTCAGAGCATGGTGAAATATATCAAATTCCTATGCTTTGTCTCAAATCAGGACAACCTGTCATGGATAAATTCCAGTCTTTCACACTAGAGTCCTTCTGCCGCTATTGCTACAAAATCCAAATATTTAGAGGTGAACCCCTCCGATCTAAATTCAGTAAACAACAGAAACATTACGCTATATCTCACACAACTCTCTCAGTCTCCGGCTGCAATTGGGAAACCATGGATAGTACACGAGCCACAGACAAACAAGGGAGATACATGAAGCAAGTGTGTTCTCCATGATAGTTTTTGCCTGAGATATCGAATCCTGCGTTTTCAAAAGACAGGCCAGGGATATCTTTTTCTGCAGCTAGCCTTACTCTTAAGACTTGAAGGATATGAACATATTCTATCTCATTGAACTCAATAGTCTGGATTCAAATTGCTTGGAATTCTCATGATCCCTGGTTCAGTTCCCTTGGGAAACTTAAGGCTACCCAGAATCATTCATAGTTTTGAGGCTCCATAAGACAACCTGAAATGAATACATTTCTACTCCTACTGTCAAAGTTGAAGGACACTGCAACTTCTGCTCCATGGATTGATCCCCAATAAATGCATCCATAGAAGAACAGTGAAAATTAACACCTCAACCCACTAGGAAAAACCGTTTGTTATCGCATAATCCCTGTGCAACTATAGTGGTTTCAGGAACCAAAGACAGAATTAGGAGTAATAATTTTTGTTTGAAAACTCTTAAAAACAATTGGGCCCTTCCACTATATTCTGATTTAAATCACGACGAGACCCTAGACAATTGAAAGGCCATCAAGCACCATATTTGCAAACAAGGGAAAAACAACTTTCTAAATTCCTATGCTCCTATTGTTGAGGCAAAAATATAGGACATATTGGGTGCATGGCCCCTTACACTCATAAGCATTGCATACTCTAATTAGATTCACCATAAGAAATTAATAACAGAAACTGATTTGAAATGTTTTAATCCCATTCTGTTTTCTATGATCTCTAATGAACCAATCACCAAACTATTCAAGACTGTGGAATTCTTTTGATGATTCAGCTTAAACACAGACGAGCAATGGAGCTTTTTCCCTTCAGTTGATGACCAAGAACTGAATCCAATCACGCCCAGTGTCTTAGAAGAGCGAGAATAACCGTTAGAGAGTGAAGCTAATTCCACTTCTGCAAAAGATCGAATGGGAAGCTTCTTGAGCCTCAAAGGCGCACTTATATCCATTGACTTTAAGGCTTTCTGTATCTCTGGACCTTGAAATAAATCCAATTTGAGCAGAATTGGATGACGGATCATGCCTAAAAATTGTTTGTCCTCAACTGAAGTTCCCTTTATTTTAGTCATGGGAAAAGGAGTGAGAGAATGACTTAGATGAAGTTCAGAGGAAGGGATCAAGGATTTCTATGGTAAATATAAAGGCTTTGATCAATGAAGAAGTTACTGTGAAGTCCTAAAAAAAGTAGAAAAGTGGTGCCCACTATATCTCAAGCACAATAGAAGGCATGGACATGCAACCAACTTCCATTAAGCATATAGAAATCCACTACCATAAAGAAAGCTCAAAAGGTAAAGGAAATCGGAGCCCACATTTTTTATATATCTCATAACCACTCTTGAAGTGAAAACCAGATGGATGTAAAGCAAGACGTGGGAACCACCCATGCTACCTTAACAAACAAAAACCCCATTGCTCCCAAGCTTTAATCAAGTAAAAAACTATGAAATCCAATTTGCATGAGAGAGATCAAGATTTTCAGCCTTTGAAGTATGTCAAGAAAATAAAAACACTTCTAACCATCCATTTTCAACTGAACATTCCCATAGAGTTAACCACACTTGTGAAGCCACCATCCACCACAAGATTGAGCCCACTCACATACTTGGCCTCGTCACTCGCGAGATACACCGCCGCCTGTGCAATGTCATCTACAGTCAATGTGGGGCCCTTGAGGTTGGCGTTCTTTGCCACAAAGTTCTCGAATGCTGCCACTGCCTCTCCCTCCCCCTCATTCTCCGGCAGGTACGGCATTGACAACCTCGTTGCTATTGCGTGCGGCGAAATGCAATTCACTTTGATGCCGTGCGCACCGAGCTCCGCTGCACAATTCTTGGTTATGCCAACAACGGCATGCTTTGAGGCTGCGTACGCATGAGACGCAAGGCCACCACGGACGGCAGCAGTGCTTGCTATGGAGATTATGCAGCCCTTGTTGCGAGGGATCATGACGCGGGCTGCGTGCTTGGTGCAGAGGAAGACGCCACGAACGTTGACATCAATGACCCTCTGGAAGTCATCGGTGAGGGCATCGCGGATGTCCCGATATGGGGGCCCAGCAATGCCAGCATTGTTGACGAGAATGTCGAGAGGGCCATGGGTGGACTCGGTGGCATTGACTGCATTAGAGACATCGGACTCAATGGTGACATTGCAGTGGACATAGGATGCAAGGGGGCCAATGCTCTGGCAGACGCTGCGGCCGGCATCATCCTCCAAGTCCGCGATGCAGACACGAGCACCATGGGCAGCAAAGTGGCAGGCTATGGCGGCACCGATGCCATTGGCGCCTCCAGTCACAAGCGCCACCTTGCCCTCCAGCCTGCCCACACTAGCATTCAAGTTCTCGAGTTCAAAAAACGGCGACAAACCTACTTTTATGGCACTGGTGTCTTCATTAGAGATGTGAAGGTTGTCATCCAAAAGCAGTATAGGAAACAACATCACAATTGCTACTAGCCACTAGATGTCATACTACTAGATGTCAAATTGGAAGGCTCGGGAGTATGTCAAAGAGTTCAAGAATTCTTTTTGAATTGTCACTCTTGTCAATGACACACTCACAACCACTCAATTTGAAATATGAAAGTAATTACGGCCTCCTTGTATTAAAACTAAAAAACATACAAGGAGACAACTTACTTATTGTATTACTTTTAATAAAATAAGGTCATAATTATTTTTGTGGTAAGTATTGCCATTGACTAGACTCATAGTTCAAAAAAAAAAAAAAGAATCTCAAACTTTATATCGTACACCCAACCTTCCAATTTGACATCTAATGGATAGCAATTATGACCTTCCACTAACAAGGATAAATGGTCTCATGCTATATAATCACTAAACATAATCGGTCTCTTTATCTAGTTCCGTATCAGTACATTTCACGGCTATGGACCCTCTAGTTTGTTAATACGCTTATCACAACTCTACTGTTATAAATGGTGTTCTGTCGTTAAAAACGAAGAGGAGAGAGGATATTATTTTCATGAGAATAAGGCATGGAGTATTATCTTTATAACGGCCACTATGGCAAGCATTGTCAAGTCTTGCCGGAAGAATACAGTAGAAAAATACTCATGAACATGGGAACAAAAAAAGTGAATATTATCACTGTTCATCAACGGGTTGGATGGAGATGGAGGGAGAGCGGACCCACCAACAGTGTCATCATCATTTTTCAGTAGTTGCACTCTGGCTCCATCACCGTCCAACGCATCGATCGGATACTGATGACCCGTTACCAAAGGAAACTATAACAGACCACTCTATCCAAACGAGATGGCACTACTTATGTCCGGAAAAACCAAATATCAGCCCAATTTTTCGCCGGAAAAAATACTGGGTTGGTTATTAACATGGAAAAACAGAGTGGGTTTGCCATAAAAATTACCTTTTGGTGATTTGGGAAGCGTCTGAGCCTGTGATCTTGGTGTCAGTGGCCATGGCAGAAAGAGAGAGAAAACCCAAATCTCTCTTAAGAGACAACTCAAATCAAATAACCCCAATCACTTTGAAAAGAACCCAAATCGTAGTTTGACTGGCAAAAGAGTGGAGCTTCTGAGAAAGCTGATGTCTTGATCGAATTTCGAGCGCAGAGCAACTAAGTTGAAGGAATTTGTTGCCGGAAAAACCAGTAAGGGAGATATCTGGCACAGCTGGGGAGCTTTGGTGGTCTCTTCTGAGAAACTAAAAGAGAAGAGAGAGAAGAGTTGAGGGAGAGGGATCTATCCTTAACAGTGTGAGGGGACTCGCGAGGAAGGGGAGATGGACCAAAAATGTTGAATGATTGGTCGGTGGAAAAATATGACTTGACCAAGAGGGAGACTTTAGTAATTTTGCTTAAATTATGGGAGTGTAAGCCATGTGGCCGGAAAAAAAAACCTGAGGTCGTCGGAAAGAACGAAATTTTATTTCGTTAAAAAATTGGAGAGAGAGAGAGAGAGAGTGCAGTGTCTGACAATTCAGCGGCTCCAACGCCAAACCGGTCGAGTAGAACCGGCCCAGCCGAGTTGGTTTTTGATGGTTTAGGTAGTCCAGTGGGTATTTTAAAAATTAAATTAAAAAAAATTAAAATTCTCAAAATAAGGAATATGTTTGTAATGTGTGTTGTAATATTTTTTATTATTTGACAAATATTGGAAAGTATTCCGGCTATAAATATTTATTTCCGGCTATAGATATTTATTTTTATATTTTTCTTTCTTTTTTGGATTACTTATAAAATACTTTTGGGTAGAAATCGATTTTTTAAAATCAAATTTTTCACTATTTTTCAATTTTATTTGGATATGTTTTGTTTAATTATATTTTAAATATATTTTTTATATTCTCTTTTTTTATATTTTTGATTTTTTAGTACGTTTTTGTCCGGTTGAGACTAGTAGCCCAGTTGGGCCAGGTGAACTAGCCCATTTCCTGGTTACTCGGACCCAGCTTTGGCTAGTTTCCAAGTTGTGTCAATCAAACACTGAGAGAGATAAAGAAGAGAAAAGGTGGGTAGGTTCCCCCTATATTGGAAAAGGTGGGTAGGGTCCCCCTAGGGAAGATAATGCACATCTTTTCCCTTGTTCAAAACACCTATTTAGGCAAATTGTTTTAGTCTACGAATTTGGAAAGCATATCGCAATTACTAGATGATTATTTTTAAAAGAAATATATGAATTTTAAGTTTTGTGACACTTAAATCTAGCCCTTAAAAAATTAGACGGTCTCTATTCAATTTTTTGAGACATGAGTTTTTTCTAGCACATGCGAGTTTATTTCAAAAGTGTTTTTACCAAAGTTATTTCATGGGTTGTAAAGTTTACATCCCTAACATGTAATTTTACTCAAGCAAGAAAAGGGATAGCATACTCCCTAGGGAGAAGGAAATCTTTTCTAGCCCACAATTGTTTATTTTTTTATTATTTATAAAAAACATAACAAAGATGACTTTATTTTACCTTTTTATTCGAAAATCTATGAAAGTCTATTTCATTTGAATGGGAAAGTATCTCGTCCATAATAATAATTGTGACCTCCATATAATAAAGATAAAAGGGTGTTGTTTATGTAGAGCCAATGCTCTAAACAATCAAAGTAAAGTGCACCTTCAAATAGCATCGAGAAATGTGGTCTCAATACTGGAAATCTTTGTGATAGTTATATTTTTATCTTTACTTATAGAATTTAAAGCTTCAAAAATAGTATTGAAAATCTTGAAACTTGATGATCCAAAAATGCATTATAAGATACATTAGTTTCTAAATTTAAAATCTATTTTTTCTCATGTCCATACATCTTGAGGTCAAGATGATTAATTTGAGGATATTTGGGCATTAAAACATCTTCTAGTGAAAATTTTGAAGTGGGCTCTAATTTGATTGTTTAGAACCTTGACTCTATTTAAACTTTTTCCTGTTTTGGAAAAATATTTTGATAGGGCTGTAGTCCTATCAAAATAAGTAAAGCCTCATCTCAAAAGTCACTGAAAATAACAATTCTAACATTCGGAAAACCTTCAAATCATTCATTTCGGCCTTGAACTATTATGCTTGTAAAAAAAAATTAGGGTTTCAAGCCCTAAAATAGTGTGCATTGTACACATTATCTAGACCGTCTATATCCCCTTAAAAATAAGTGTTCTTGAATCTGCAAGATCTATACCATTTTTAGAGTTTCATATTATAGTTGGTGTTATAAATTAATTTTACCACCGTCATGGAGATTTCTGATGCCCAAAGTGCTTTCGGGACAAGGATTTGAGATTATAAAGCCTAAGCCTTATAGAAACTACATTCTTTTGTCCTTTTCTTTTTAAACTCATACATCGAAAGTGGGCTTTGTGGTGGACAACAATCAACCTCAAAAGTTTCCAACACGATTTCACATTGATCACACCCAGCAAAGCAATGGAAGAAAATGATGCAAATCGAACCTATTTTTCTTTTGAAAAGAAAGTCTATATTGTATACCCTACCCTACCATTCTCATATTTATTGATTACAATATATACCTTCTATATTAGCTGGATAATCCAATATATACCTTCCTTTCACATTTCTAACATTGACGTTGAATTCAGTTTCACACCACATGTTGCAAATGATTCCCAAATATGCTTGCCCCCCTGCCACCCACCCCAAAAGATGCTTCCACACCCCTCCCTCGCTCTCTCTCTCTCTCTCTCTCTCTCTCTACTA